GATGTCCAAAATGTTAGGAAATCTACTTTCTGCCCACTCCTGCTATAGGCAACAGTATTTGGCAAAAATATTCATGCACAGGCACACATGTGACAGAAAGTCCAGTCTGTATTGTCCAGCACGATGTTTTGGTGCAAGATACATATTATTTGCATGAAAATAATATGAAAAGCAGGGTAAGGCCTATGGGTCAATTGGCTAATGCTAGAGAAGTCTCTGCACATTTGGTCCAATGTAGAAATGATCAACTGAACTAGCACCAGTCATGAGTTAAGTTTAAGACACACTTTTCACCGACTGTCTTCTAAGTATTTGTGCTTATTATGCTTAATGATACAGATTAAAAAATTATCATTAAACTTCTGTTCAAAATATGTTAAGTCTATACCACATGTTGACACCGTGCTCCACATAGAGTGCAATCCTATACATATCTCCTTAGAGGTCTGTGGAACTTACCACTGGGTAAATATATATAAGATGTTTTTATTTATTTATACATGTATGTATAGGCTGACTATAACTGCTGAGGCCTTCCTAGGAGGCTTACAATAGTGCTGCAGATTGCAGCAATAATCAGTCATATGGTCAGTGAAGGGGCAGGACGGCATCCCACCTTGCTTTCAAACAACCAAAGGTATCATCTTTAAACTGAAGGACTAGCGATCAGAGCAATGGGAAGGCCAGACCATCAATAAACTTCTCGAGGGAAAACCACTATTTTGTTTATAGTCAAATACATCACTTGAGAACTGAAGTCAGGCACAGTCCCTGTCCATCCATAGCTACTATGGGTCCCACTCATGAGCATGCCTTGCAGTGTTTGCTTCTCTGTTGAACATGCTTTGCTGGCTTGTCCACAATTTCCAAACGTGATACAGGCCTTTCTGCACACTCACAGCCCTGCTCCAAACATAACCACATTATGGACAATGATGTTGTTCAGGAAAAGCTTATTCAGGTTCTTGAGTTCTATTATTGCTGCCTACATAAGGCTACCACTCTGTCATAAACTTCAATATACCTATTTGCTTGATTCCAGTGAAGAAACTTAGATTTCCTTAAAGCCTGCTGCCTGAGACAGCTGACTTCTAGGAAGACAAAAGCAGAAAGTACTCTGCAGATTTTCCAGTTCTGATCCAGATAAGCTCTGTGGTGATAGTTCATTTCTAATATATTAGAAGTAACTTGAGAAGAAGTAAGAAAAGCCTCTTCCACCTTTTATTACTAGGGGGCTCATTACCCAGATTCAAGATTCCAAAAACAGAATTTTCACAAGAGAGCTAAAGTAACAATTTGGGCACTGAACGCTGTTGATAAGCATGGCATGTTAAAAGCTAATGTAGACCCTATGCAGTGAACCATTTCCACAGAAAGATACGTCTTTATGCTTATTCCCCCCACTCTTACTGTGGAGACAAATGAATGATTGAACTGGGAGACCCTGCAGGTATCTTGACTGTACTTTCTCACTCACCCTGTGAGTTTAAACTAACTTGCAGGCAGGGACAGAATGATGCAATAGTTAGGCATGGGATCTCTTGAGAATGAATGCAGGCTCTTATTCATTCTTCTCCCTAGGTACAAATTGGAACAGGTGGGACAGAAATATATACTTTTAAAGATCCCATGCTACCATCTTTAAGCAATATGCATGCTCTTCTTGTTTTGGAGTGGAAAACTACCCCGTGGCTCCCCAGAACTGATTCTGATAGGGACTGGTTGTCTAAGAAGTATAGAGGATTCTAGAATGAGGGAGAATTACCTTAGCATTTCAGTGTAATGGAAATTTTTAGGTGTTACTCTGCACTACCTGCGCTCCTCCAGCTCTCTCTTTTGCAAAGTTTCTGTGCATTTCATATTCTTCCTATATGGTTTGGCTGACACTGCTTGCAAGAGACAGAAAGGCAAGGAAAGGTAAGCCATGTTAACAAAGGTTAAATATTTAACGAAAACAGCGAGAGACTGGTTTATTCTGGAATTTTGTAAAGCATTTCATTCTTATATTTCATTCACTATGAAAGTATCAGCTTTGGGTAAGGGAAGCCTATTTGTAGCCACTCCAAAAGCATTAGAAGTACTGTTGTCCTTGAATCACAAAGGGGAACAAACCTTTATTGAAGCTTTCCATCTTCAATGTTCATTAAAATGGATGTGTTCAGAAGGTATTAGAATGGGCAATTTCACTGGAGCCATTCTCCAAAATTGATCCTAGTGCTGTTGACTCCTTCTCTCCCTGCTTCTTCCTCTTGTCACCTAGCAGCATCTCTACCTATTGTTATACTTAATCCCAATACTGGCTTCACTCTTCCATTGTAGTGAAAGCATTTGAGGGAAAAGAAGAGACAAATACCTATGAAATAAGGACCCAGTGACAGCTTTGATATTCTCTAATACTCATCACCATAGAAACACCTTGGACTGTATGGATTCTTCACAAGAAAAAATGCTAATCTAGCTCCGTTTAGGTAATGAGGTCTGGCCCATACAGATCTCTTCAACTCCTCCCTGAGATGCTGTTAGGAACTACTTGGGCATATTTTGAATTACCCCGTGTTCTTCTAAATTTGTGCCACATGAGTGCAAGTTCTTCAGTGTATTGTTTCCTGGAGAGTCTTTTTCTATGCTAAAAGCACAGATAACATCTTCACTTAAGTCCAAGCTTATACTGTGCTGTTCATTACTTTTGATGCAGGATTAGCTTTCTGTGACAAGAGTCTCCTATATGCAGCTCTGATCATATCATGAAGCAGAAGTCAGTGACAGTTTGCAGCACTGTAGCATGACTATCAAGCTTCAGTGTCTTCTTAACCTTATGATGCTGTTGGTCATGAACAGATCTTTGGTGGTGTGGCTTGTCATGTCATCCAGACTGGGGCAGCATGGTTTATCTGAGGGGGCAGTGACTATTAAATAACCTACGAGCTGTTGTTCAGTTGAGCATTGCTGCCCCCTCTCAAACAAGTCGTGCTGCCTAGGTTAGATGATACAGCAAGTCGTGCCACCAGTGGTAATTAGGAAAATGTTTCTGACTTATTTCCCTTACTGTGTTCGTGTAAACAAGCTGTAAGTCAAGATTACTGGATCACAAGTTTCAGTTTCCTAACCAGCTGCAGCACTGAGTTTCATTGTAGGTTAGGAAATATGCTAAGTAAAGGGATTAGTGTATAGAACCGGTTGCCAGATGCGTGCTATTGAGAGAAAGAGAGAGAGAGAGAGAGAGAGAGAGAGAGAGAGAGAGAGAGA